TATTTTAAAAAAAATATTTGCTTTCTTTTTAAAAAAAAACTAGTGCGGTCTCAGAAATTGTATATGTATAATCCTTGATTTGAGGACCAAGATATAAAAGTGGTATTTGATATTTGGTATTCTCAGAAGACTGAGTTACTCTGCCGTTCTGATACAGATAAATGAATTAGATGTGTTGCTTCTACATTATGGATGTCATTTTTTAAAAAGAAAGCAAATATTTCTATACATATAAACACATAAACACGGGTACACCTACGCATTTTTCCTGACTTTTATTTAATGGGCTTCCTCACATTGGCAGACCTGCATCTAATGGACTGCTGAGGAATTCTGCAAGTTAAACTGATTCCAATTCATCCGAAGTGCAGTAGATTAGAGAAAACCAAACTATTAGCCAGAATTGTTTCACCCTGCACTCTCATTTTGTCATGTACTTTTTTTGGTAGGGAGGATTCAAAATTGTGGGTCCCAAAATGTGCTTCCTTATTCTGCCTAACTGGTGAATCATTCTGCTTTTTCCATGGCATTTTTAGATGCAGAGCTTATCTTTCCCTTCCTGTTTTAAAGAAGGAATTAGATATAAACCAATATAGTGCCCCTATTATACTTTATTTTTAGCAGGCAGGTTGTATTATTATCTTGGATTACATAACAGTCTTTTGTAAGGGATTTTGCTCCCTTAGAGGCTTCAGAAGCAAGGCAGAGAGTTGGGAAGAGCAGCAAAACAATGTACACCACACCCTCTGTTATTTTCCTTTTCCTTTTGGGTCCCCCCACCATTAAAACCCACTGTGTCAAAAGGCGTGTATTGCAGAGATGCTACATCATAACCAAGATCGTGCTAGGCTGCCTTTCTGGCAGGACAGCATCTCTTTTAATTCTGTCATGTGATTTGGTTGGCCACATGCCTTTCCTGAGTAAATCTGCAGCATGCTATTCCGTCCTGCAGAGGTGACATTGGGATAAACTGAGAGAGAATTCCAGAGAAAGCTGAATTATTTACAAACAAGTTTCCTTCTGATTAAAAGATTCTGACCCTTACAATGATGAATAAAATAAACTCTGTAAATAGCTGTGGCTGAACAATGTTTGCTCTAAACTTCTATTTTATCTGCTTGATCTGTTAAACTTGGGAGGGATTTTCAGTTGCTATCTCTTGTCAGTTTATATCTTCAGAAAAATGTGAGGACTCTTGGCTAGAAAGCTAAAGTCTCCTGAAGTCTTCATCTAAGGACACTAGATTATTCTGTATAATGTATACATACATTCTCTTAAATTAACACAGTCCTCCAAATGTACAGTAATCTGCTGAATCCTTGGTTGGTTTTTGTGGACATTTAATTACCCAACTAGGTGACATCATCAATGTAGCATTTACTCCCTGTTTGTATTCAGTAGCTTGCACCGCCAATGTTGTTATGGATATAATTTTGTCCTTGGAGTTGCTTGATTAGGATATTATTTTCTGNAGGGTGGCATATATCACCAGACACCATTTTATGTTCAACAGTGCATGGCATTCTAGGATAAACCATAGAACACAAAACGCTTTAAAAGCCTGTTGGAAACAATTGTAAGTTGCTCTCATGTCTCCCCAGAGCTTTCTTTGAGCACAAAGCCTTTATTGTGAGGTGACATTTCACAATGCTTCCCCCCCCACCCCTCGCTTCCGTAAATGCCGAGAATTAGAGCATCTCCTTCTCCCCGCCCCTTGCTTTTTATAGCGTCTGCTTTAAAAGCAACAACCACCATCAGTTTGTGGGCAAATCTCCTGAATATATTATCTGTTAGCTGTGATTTGTTAATTAGATCCCCGACCCTCTGTGCTGCTTTCAAATGCACCGGGCATCACAGAAGCACAAACAGTTTGGGTTGGCAAGAAATATCTGTTCCAGAGGTTCGGTGATTTTAATGTCTGTAGTCAGTGACATGCGTCCTCTCTTCTGGATATAAAAATTTAACCAACGGGCTCTACGGTGTATTAGAGCAAAGGATGAAGGAGGTGGGAAACAGATTTAGTATTTAAAGGGGAAGGGGGGCATCATTGGATATAAAGATACATGATAAGCATTACATGTTGCTGTCTGTTTTAATTCTTAAGTAGATCTAAGCATTGCATATGTGGAATCATTTATAACCAAGTGAGCAATAATGGAATTAATTATTCAACTCTATACAGGGCTGAATTCCATAATGTTTCTCAGACATTCATTGTTTTTTTACCGATAATCTCCATTTAACAATCTCTTTTCTAGTACCTTTTCCTGGTAGAACCAAGAAGCCTTTGTCTTCTGAGAATGCCTTTCTTTCGCTTTAAGTGCATCTTCATTGCATCTTTGAGTAGACATTGAAGATGTTACATAACCTTCCGCATCTTATGTCATGGAGTTAGGCGGTCTTCTGGGGAGGGACAGAATTGGCATTTTGTTGGGTGCAATTTTTTTAAAAAATGGCTATGTTGGGCTTGATAGTTTAAAAAACAATTATACCACATAGTGAACCAGCCTTCTTGGATGTTAGTTAATTCAGTGGAATATTTAGGTGGATCAGAGCCATTCCCTTAAACAAAATGTAATGTTGAAGCTGATTCTTTTGCATTTCCACTTCCTGTTTAATTATTTTTATTTAAAAAAATACATTTTTTAAAAACAATCTGAAGTATGTTTGTGAATTATAGCTCAGTTGGTAAGGTTTGTTTGTTCTGCTAATATTTTATAAAAAAAATTAATCCCAAATAAAAATGTAAAGTAGACATTTTTTAAATTTATTTATCGGTTGAATACTAGACTACCATTGGAGCTTAGAGTCAAATCCTCCTTAAGCTAAGTTCTCCAGATGATCTTGGACCAGTGGCCCATCCTTCATTTTAATGGACTTCAAAGGATGGTTGTGAAGACAACACATGGAAGAAAAAGAACACTGTCCTCTGTTCCTTAGAGAAGGGAAGGGTTAAAATTAATTAATTAATTCATTCATTAACAATAGTGCGGTCTCATGAAGAGGTTTTTATGTTATATGTTTTGTGTGTTGTGTTTGTGTTTGTTTGAAAATAAAAAAAATATTTTAAAAAAAATAGTGCGGTCTCATGAAGAGGTTTTTATGTTATATGTTTTGTGTGTTGTGTTTGTGTTTGTTTGAAAATAAAAAAAATATTTTAAAAAAAATAGTGCGGTCTCAGAAATTGTCTATATATAATCCTTGATTTGAGGACCAAGATATAAAAGTACTGGTATTTGATATTTGGTATTCTCAGAAGACTGAGTTACTCTGCCGTTCTGATAC